TCCGCTTAAATGTAATCTTACAAGCAGGAAATAAAGGAGGCTACTGGAACTGCAAAATAAGTTCACATTCGTCACACAGTTCTTGGTCCATGGAATAGCAGACCATCGATTTACTAAGCTCGTAAACTCCACTGGAATAGTTTTGGTACTTTTTATTGCACCTCGGGCAAATTTCCTCGGAGACCTTCCCTTCTCCGTACCTTGCTTTCATTTCGTGGGCGACGTTAGGTTGGTTGGAGCTGTCATCACCACCGTCGCTACTTGTGATTTTCGTCTTCGGGCATGGTTCCAAACTGAAATAGTGCAGTTCTGCTTGATGCCTCAAAAGAATCATCCCCTCATTCTTCTTGATGGCGATGGAGTCCGCAGAGCTGTCAGTGTGTAGGTTTATGACCCGCAGGCCGGAACTACCGGTTGATGAGATTATGGCGATGTCAATATTCAGCATATTGGCCATTGCCCACACCACAATCCAGTCAGCCCACTCACCATCTCTTTGCATTCGTTTCAAGTAAGAATTCCATCCATTATGCTTGATAAACTCGGAGAAGTGAGTGTCATCTGGCGTATTGGGATGATCTCGCAGATACTGAATTACGTTTTCTCTGAGTCTGGTATGCGACTGAGAAGCGAAACCAAGCCTGTTGAGTTGGTCACTTACGGTATGGAAAAAACAGTTTCCATCCATTGGAATTTCTCCTCGATAGCGGCATCCTGCTTCTTTCACTTGACCGTCCAAAAGAGCCTTGGTATTCGCCTTACTGCAAGCCTCATTCGTTTCAAATACATCTCGAGGGAAGCGGCAGTCGTGAGGTGGAGAAGATACTAGCTTCGGGAGATCAAGCAAGTCGTTAGCCATTTCATTACGCAAATCTTGAGTGTCATTAATTTGTATAACATTTTTATTGCCAAAATTTGACTGACATAGTTTTTTAATAGCCAAGCACATAAAGACTCCACAATCCGAGTCGTTAGTTTGTTTTGGTAAGCCTTGCACAATGATTTTCTTGAAGTTATTAGGATTTCGTATTCCCATTTGACCCGAGTCATCATTGCATTGGTTCTCCTTTGCGATGAACCTCGATTTCAGCTTTGAAAACACATCGGCWTAACTTTTGGCGTTTAATTCCAAAGAGTCAAAGATAGTGATCGTAAGTTTAAGCATACAGATGATGGCCAGCAACCAGTGTTTTAATTCTTGAATGTGCACGGGAATCAGCAGTTTCTCAACGCCGTCATTTAGCTTTTTGTTGGAGATGAATTTTCGATAAGGCACAGTTTTCTCCTTTTCAGCAAGTCTATCTAACGATGGGTAAAAGAATGTGCTCGCTATAACAGTATTACAGAACATGGAAAAGATTTACTAACATAGCTAGTGTAGACGGTCTCACCTGTCAGTTTGTTAACATTGGTGATCTCTGTTATTGCCTTGTCCAGAACATTTTCACTTATATTAGAATGTTTTGCTTTTTTTACTGACCCATAGTTTTGAGACTTTCTTCTTTTATGTACAGATTTCGCAAATTTAACGGCTTCCTCTGACTTTTTCTGCCTGCTCGATTCATCTTCGATTGT